GGGGGGGGGGGGCAGGTGCAGAGCACTTGCTGTGCGCCTGCCCCATGGGTGTGCTTGGTGACTCCCTTAAAGGCCTTGGTGATGGGCAGGAAGGGATGCAGGGACAACCTGTCACATGTCAGCTCACCTTCCCCATGCCAGGAAAATGACACGTCACTTTCTGAACTCGAATCTCTTCAACAACACTCGAGAAAGGCGTCCCTGTCCCTGGGGAAACAGCTCAGAAGTGATACGGGCAGAACTGGGACACAAATGCCGCGCCTGCCGCAGGGCCTCCCTCCAGGTATGCAGGAGCAGGGCCGCTTAGCCTTCATGAGGCTTGGGGAAGGAAGAGAGTAACAGAATTCCCCGCACCAGGACTCTGGCTCCTAGCTGGGCATTTCCATCCTCTGGACCCAGTTTCTCTCTTTTGCTGAAAACTGAGTCTGGCCCACTGGCTACACCCCTTCGGGTGAGGGGAAGGACAGTGAGTGTGTTTTCAGCCCTTCGCCCAGGGCCTTCCAGCAAGAAGGCATGAGATTGTCACACCAGTGTAGTCTCAACCAGCTCGGACATGACTCCCCCCTGCGAACCCCACACCTCGGTGGCCGCCCCGAGGTGGACCTGCCTGCCTCAGGCTTGCTGGTGCCGCTCCTCCAATCTGCGGCTCCACGCCTGGGCTCTGAACCGTGGAGGGAGTCTCTTGTTAACAGATGATGAATATAACTGGAGTACTGAGCACCTTCTGTGAGCCAGGGACCAAGATGGATGCTTCACAAGAACATTGGCTCAGCGGGGAGTAGGAGCTCACAGGCATCTATCGAATGAGGGGCCCAGTCTGGCTCCCCTAAATAAAATGCTATCAGTTCTACGCTGCTGTGCGAACCACTGCAGCTGGATCAATGCTTCCAGTTCCTGCTGCACTCGGCAGTGACTGCACCTGGAGCTTCTTGGAAACAGAAGCATGGGGTTGTTCTCCAGACCTGGACGACCATAATTTCTAGAAGCCCCACGTGTGCGTTGATGTCTTGCAAGGGTGCAAACCCTGGTCTGGACCCCCTTCCATGGGGAATTGGGAACATGCAGCCCAGGTCTGGGTGCTGAGCAGATGTTGGCCCCAGTCCTACCCTCTGAAAAACTGCCCATCACCCCCGAGTCACTTCACTGACTGACCATTCAGCTTCTTTGCTCTACCCAACCCTTCCTCTCAGAGTCCCAGCCCAGCTCTCTGGGGCCAGGCAAGTCTTCAGAGTGACACTTAAGAAGATCATGCTGATGGTGCTCCTCCCCGCTGCTGGGCCCCCTTTACCACTGGGTTGGTGTCAAGGACACCGCCTACAAGCACCCCAGATGCGAAGTCCCTCAACACACTTTGTTCTTGTCCAACTTATGGTAGGAGCCGTCGGATGCCAAACAAAGTCAGTCCTAGGGATTCCCACCCACGACGTGGGGCTGGCTGTTTAATTACTGTTTCCAATGCACTGTGTTATTTCTACACTGTGGACAGGCTTAATCACAGAACTCTATCTCCCTGCAAGGCAAGGTCTGGGAAAGGGTCCCCAACAGCCTCTGTTGGAACATGTGTCGTCGTGTTTAATAGGAGGTAGGAAGTGCGGAGCTGGGATTCAGCCGGATTCATGGATAAATGCCATCAGTAAATCTTATGTCACATTCAAGCGTGTTTTACTAGGTCAGTTGCCTACTGTGAATTGAGGAAGGGAGCAGCGAGTTTCCAAGTCTCTTTTCACAGCTGCCATTACCTGGTCGAACACAGAAACCTTGAATGATGAGGCATAAACTGATGTGGTTCACATTAAAAGCTCGCGGTTTGAATTCGCATAACGTAATAGGACGTGGCCGTGGACGGGCTCCTGCCGGAGCGTCTCCCTTAGAGAGCCTGTGGCGCCCTGTCCCGGAGCTGAGCGGGCGTGGGGAGGGTAGGCTGCGGGCACGACCTTGGCCGCGGGCGTGGGG